TATTTATATTTATTTTATATTTTTATGAATTATTTTTAAATAAATTATTTTTTTATTTTTAAATATTTTATTTATATATATTTTTATTTTATAATTTATATATTTTTAAAAGTTTACTTTTAATTTTTACAATTTGCTTTTATGAAACTACTCTCTTTTTTATTATAAATAATATTTAATTTTTTAATCATAATTTTAATCATTAAATATTAATAATTTTTAATTTAAAATTTTTATTATTTATTTAAATTTATTTTTACAAATTATAATAATTGTTTAATTTTTTTAAAAATAACAAATAAAACTAATGTAATAAAATCATTCTCAATTAAAAACTAAAAACAAATTTGCTTAATAGAATTAGCAATTTTACTAAACACATCAAAATTTAAAATGTAATAGGAATATTTAATTTTTTTATTTATAATTAGTTTTATTTTAACTTTATTTTGTTTTAAAGAAGGTAGAATACTTAGGATTTAAACATAAAATAATTAAATATATTTAGATACTGAAAATTAAAATTCAACCAAAAACAAAAATTAATTTATAAATAATCCTCAAATACATTTAAAAGATTTATATGGAATTTAAAAATGTGATAAATAAGTTTTTTCGAATACTTTAAATAAGTAAAAATAGAAAGACTAAAAAATTTCATCGATAGGAAAAAATATAGAATTTACTTAAGTTTTATAACTAAAAAAATAATTATAAAGTAAAATAGACTTTTTAAATGAATGTTTATAAAAAAATTCAAATCAATAAAATTAAGAAATAATAAATTTAAAAGAAGAAAATAATAATATAATCATAAAAAAAAATATATCAAAAACAACAAGTAATAGAGAGAATTCTTCTGATTTTTTCTTATCTCATAAAAATAAAATTAAAGCACAATATTCCAAGAAACTTTCTTAACATTCCTTAACTAATTAATAAAATAATTCTCTATAATAAAACATTTTACAAAATGATTATAACTTAAAAAATAATGTTAATAATGATAATAAAAATAATAATCAATATGCTTATACTAATAATGTAAGTGAATAATTAAATATAATAAAAAACAAAATAAAAAATGTTTTGTAAATGTATTAAAAACAATAAAATTAAACAAACACATTAAATAAATAGCTAGTAAATAATTTAATTAAAAACACTTAACAAAATAATAAATTATCTCTTAATATTGATCAGATAAACATATAAGCTTCTTTAAAATAATAAATAAAAATAAATGAATGTTAAAATTTATTTAATACAAATAATTAAATTTAAAAATAATGATTTTATAAATATTTATTTAATTTAAAAAATAAAAAGATATATTTATACTCTTGTAAAAATATTTAAATATATTAATTAAAATAACTTCTTATTATATATAATTTCATAAAATGATGTTTATAAAATATATATTATAAATGAGTTAAATTTAATTATAAATTATAAAATTTTGAAAATAAATAACAATACAATATATTTGATAAAATTAAATTATTTTATATTTATTTCTATGTATAGATAAAAAATAATTATAAATTAATAACATTAAATAATTTGTTAAAATAAATGTGAAGGAAGATAAAAAAATTAAAAATAAATATTTAAATTAATATATAAACTTAAAAATAAAATATAAAAATATAAATTGAATTATATAAAAATATATATAATAAGGTATAAAAAATATATATATATATTCATATATATATATATATATATATATTTTTATATTTTTATATATAAATATATTTATTTATATATATATATATCTATATTTTAGTAATAATTATTTTTAGCACTATTTTAATATTATTTTAATTGAAATATTTTCATTTAATTAATTTTATCAACATTTAAAGTTATTTTAAGTACTTTCTACTTATTTGTTTATATATATATTATTAATATTACTATTTTAATATTAAAAATTTAAATATTATTATTATTCAAGTAATTAATATTATTATTTTATTAATATTTCAATTATGAAATTATAATATTTTTTTATGGAAATTATTTTTATTAATAATTTTAAATATCAGTATTATTGTATTATTTTTTTTTTTATTATTATATTTAATAGTCATTATAATTTTAATAAAGCTATACATTTTAATTTTTTAAATTTGAACACTTCTATGATTATTACTACTTTTATTATTTTATATTTTTGTTTTAATTACTTGAATTATTTCCTATTTAATTAATATTATTTTAGCCTATAAAAGTACTTTACTTTTAATACTATAAATCCAAGAAAGATGTGTTTTCAACAAATTATTATTATTGATTATTTTGAAAAAAAAGTACATTTTAAGGATTTTAAATTGCTTTATTATTAATTTTATTTTGTGTGAAAAATTAATTTATGTTATTATTTTTTATTTATTAATTAGATTAACTTTTAGTAATATCATTTGAATTTATTTATTATTTATTTTATTCTTTATCCTAAAAATATTTAAAAAAAATATAAATTTTTTAAAAAAACTTACAATTCTGACATCGAAATCATCAAGAATTTTACAAATAGGGCTTTTAATATTTTCAAAATCTTATTTATAAGTATATCCGATAAAATTTTAATTAATAAGTCTATTTTTTTGTCCAATTTTTTTATTTTCTGGGTTTATCCATGGCTCTTTTTCTTAATAATCATCGAAATTTGAAAAGTCAAGCTAATCATTTACTTTAGGAATATAAACTGCTTTTTATTATTTTAATTTTTACCAATCTATTCCTTAAAAAAAAGGATGTGCTTAGATTTCCTAAACTCCATTAACACCTAATCTAACTTTTTGATCTTATATTAATTTCTAAATTAAGTCCCTGGCATTATCAGAAAGACCAGATTCATTAGGAATATTAAATGTTTTTCTCCAATTAATGATATTTTGGCGAGTCTATTAAGGATGTTCTGAATAAAAAGGAGGATATCCCAAAAGCATTTCAAATAATATAGCCCCCAAACTCCACCAATCAACTATCTCTGTATATCCTTATTATTCAAAAACTTCAGGTGCTATATAATCTGGAGTTCCTACTGTAGAAAATGCTAACTAAAAAATAAAAATATATTATTTAATATAGAATAAAAGAAAATAAATAATAACTTACATTTCTATTACGATTATATTATTCTTATTTTTTCGTTATTAAAAAACCAGAGTGTTTTTACAATGAAGATTCTTATAAATATTTATCTGTAATAAAGATTTATTTCGGCTTTTTATTTTTAAAAAAATAAATACTTTTTCTATATATAAATTATTACTGAATGTTTACATAACCCAAAATCAGATAGCTTTATATGTCCGTCTTTTCCAATTAAAATATTATCGGGCTTTATATCTCTATGGATATAATTCATTTTATGAACTGAATCTATAGCTAAAATCAATTCACTGGCATAAAAACGAGATTCTCTTTCTGTAAAAATATCTTTTTTAATCAACAAATTCATTAAATCTTATTTATTTATTTTTATATTAACAAAAAAAAGGAAAAAGAAAAAAAAGACAACCTCCTCCTTATAAAAATTCCATAACTAAATATAAATATCTTTAGTCTTAAAAAGAACATATTAAATTAACAATCCAATTATTTTCTTTATTTGTTAAAATATCTCTTTCAGCACGGACATGGCTTAATTAATTTTTTTAAATCATTTCTGATTTCTTCATCTTTTTTATTGCTACTATTTATCCTGTTTTTTTTTCTCTACATACTCGGACTTCACCAAAAGCTCCTCTCCCAATTATCGCTAAAGGTTCATAATCATTTGTAGTTATTTTTTAACGCCTATTTTATATTATTTTTATTATTTTTTTAAAACATTTTAAAAACAATATTTTATTTCTTAAATTTATATGTTTTTTTTGGTTTTTTTGTTTTTTTTTGTTTTTTTTTGGCAAAAAAAAAATATTTTTTTATATAAAAAAAAAAAAAAAATTAATTTTACTTTTTTCTATTTACTTATAGTTCTTATTTCATTACTTCTCTTTCTATCATTTACTTTTCCACTATATTCATTTATAAAGATTCCATCTTTAATTATAGTAATTACCAGTTTTATTTAAATTATCTTTCTATTAAAAGTGCTTTAGCATATTTTCCTTAATTAATTTTTTAGATTTATTATTTTTTTTGGGTTTATTACTCTCTATATATGATTTTGCAGACTCTACACGGTCTCTAGTTGCTGCTGACATTTAAAATTCCATTTTATTATTTGTATTAATAAATATTTGATTATATAAAATAAATAATTATTTTTTTATTATATAACGATATAATACTTAAAAATTTGTATATTAATTAAAAAGTTTTAATTTTATTTATATTTAAATGAATCTTATATTTATATTATATATTATATTTAAATAAATATATTATAAAAATATATTATTTATAACTAATATATTTAAATAATATATTAATTTATATTTAAAAATTAATATTTATTAAATTTAAATATAATTATAATTTTTGATGTTTATATTTATAATTATTTTATATTATTTTAAAGAAATTACTTAAGACTTTATTATAAATCAATTAACACTTTCAATTTAATATTAAAAAAAAAAATTCAAATCAAAATTAAATTTATAAATATAAATATTCTCAAATTAATACAAATCAAACTTGTAATAAATAAACATAATTTTAAGAATATTTACAAAATAATGATTATTTTAAAAACCATATCTATATTAAAAAAAACAATATAATTAAAGCAATTTTTAATTAATAAAACTTTTATGATATCAATAAGTTTTTCAAAATATTTATAAATGATAAATATTTTCAATTAGTTAAAACATAAAATAAAATCATATAAATATAATTTTTAATATTATGGGAAATATATATAATTTAATATTAATTTATAAAAAGAATACTATTTTATAATTTTTAATAATTAAAAAATATAATTTTATATATTTCTTTTCGATTTATAATTTTAATATAAAGTTTTTATTATATTTAATACAAATAAAAAAATATCTTTAATTTTTTAGTTAATATATTAAACAACAAATTTATTTTTGAAAAACTTTTTTTCCAAAACAAATTCGTCTCTATTTTTTTTTTTATTAGCTATATGAGTATATTTTAAAAAAAATTGAAATAAAAAAAGTATTAAATATGTATTTTTATAAACTTTTGTTAAATAAATTATAATTGTATTATTAAAGAAAATATTATATATATATATATATATATATATATATATATATATATATATATTTATTATATAAAGAAATATTACTTTTATATATGAGATTAATGAAAATCTTATTAAAATTAATTAATATTATAATGATTTAATTTATTAAAAATAATATAAATATTTAATTAATATATATAAAAAAAGTATCATTTTTGAAGATTATTATTTTTTATATATAAAAATATATAAAATCAAAAAATATTATATTATATTATTATATTTTAAAAATAAATTATTATAATACTAAAATTATAAAATTTACCTAAAATAATATAATAATTAGCAAATATACAGTCGAAAATATTATTTTACATTTATAATTATATATAAGCAAGACAGTATAATTATAATATCAATACAATATAATTAATTTTTTATCAATAAATTAAGTTTTAAAATAATAAATTTAATTTTTATAATGAAAATTAATATTTATTTAATTACTTATACACTCATTTAAATTATATAATATATTATAATATTTATTTACTTAAAAAAATAAAAACTTCTTATATATAAAATTGCTTAAAAATGTAAAACAATAAAACATATAATTTTATAAATATTTAATTTAAAACTAAAAAATAGAAAAATATTAATAAACTAAAATAAAAAACTTTAAATTCTGATTATTTTATAATCTTTAAATTAATAAAATTATATAAAAAAGATACTTAAAACAAAAAATGGTATAATTTTATAAAAATAGTTAAGTATCCAACAAAAATAAATATACATTAAAAATAAGCATAAAAATAAATAATAAACACTATAATAAAATTAATATTAATAATAATAAAAAAAAAAGAAGCAACTTATAAAAAAATGTAAATATTAAAACCCATTTCTTATACAACTCAAAAAATCAATCTTTCAATAAGTACTGAAGATTCATCCTCAGACTCTGAAGATAATTATAAACTCTAAGATAGAAAAGAATTTGTAAAATAAAACTAAACATTATTAAAAGAAGCAAATGATTACTAGACAATTAAATATATGTAATAGCAAGAAGTAAAATTCTAATAAGCAAATATCTAAAACTAATATAATATATTCATTTATATATAAGCAATAAATTATTTATGTGAAGTCCATAATACTTTGAATATGTAATCTGAAACATTACATTTAGCAGTGAATATAGTCAATAGATACATAAAAGCCTTATAAAAATTTCCTAAAATAAATCTATTAAAATCTATAGGTATATCTGCTTTATTTCTTTCAGCCAAATATTAAGAAGTATATTGCCCTAGGATTGATATTTTCTGTACTTTTTTTAATTAATAAAAAAGTACTTTATTACAAATTGAAAGTGATATTATTGAAAAGCTTAATTTTATGCTTTTTACTCCTACAAGAGTTTATTTTTTGGAAGCTATTTTTAATTAAGTTAAATTAAATGATAAATAGAAAATTTTTTGTTTTTATTTGGCTGAACTTTCACTTTATAATTGTTTTATTAATAATAATAGTAATAGTAAAATCGCTGCTTCTATTATTTTTTTAGCTATTAAGTTAGCAAATTTATAATAAAATAATATATGGAATGATAATCTTAAGTATTTTAGTAACTTTTGTTAAGATGAGCTATATGACTGTGTTATTTAGTTATATTAATGGCTTATTTGTATTGATTTTTAGATTTTTAGTTTTAGAAAGTTCTAAACTGACAAAAATATGGGTATTTCTAATTTAGATTATAGTTTAAATTTTAATTAATGAATATTATTTTTTTCGTGTATTTAATTTTTGTTTATTAAATTAATTATGTTTTAAATTTTATTTATAACAAAATTAATGTTTTTTATTTTTTTATTTAACAAAAAAATATAAATTATATACTAGAATATATATTTTTTAATTTTTAAAGATTATAATATGAAAATAGGAAATTAATATAGTATTATATAAGACTTTATTAATTATTATTTTAAAGCTTTTTTATAAAAAAATTATAATTAATTAATCTTTAATTTAAAATATTCTAAACAAAAAGTTACATTTTATTTTATAATAAATTAAATGTATCAGTATGTATGCCCAAAAAAATAGAATTTTATCAAATATTTTTTATAAAAACAGAATTTAATCGAATTAAAAAACCCAATTTTTAGATGTTAAAATCTATATTTATATTGACTTAACTTATAAATAAATTATAAGATCTTTAATAGAATTACCTATAAATTTAATATAAGCATGAATTATATTTTGTAAATAATATATATAATATTAATAAATTAGTATATTTTTTGGTTTTTACGAATAATTAATCAAATAAATACAATAAATAATTAATTCAGAAAAAAAAATTCGATTAAAAAATTATTATTATTTAGTAATTTTTAAATAAATATATTTTAAGATTTAAAAAGTACTATTTATTGAAATTTATAAAATAAATAAGAAAAAAATATTATATATATATATAATATAGCAATCAAATTTATAAAAAAATGCAAAATTTAGAACCTTTCCACTATCCTAAAATCGAATATTACCTTAATTAAATTTTTTTATTATTATTATATAATTAAATGATTCTTATTATATAATATAATAAAAATATATTTTTTTAGTATTAAAAATAATATTAAAATCATAATTTTTTCATGTTATAAATATTATAACACTTTATTATTTATTAAATACAATTGATTTATTTAATAATAAAAAATAAAAATTTAATTCATCGAAAATATAACATTTCTATTAATAAAATATGAATAAACTTAAAAAGTATATATGAAAGAAATTATAATTTATTATTAAAAAAATATTTTATTAAATTAAAGCCATCAGCTTTTATCTCCATGTATTTATTTTTTAATATTTTACATTAATAAAAATTTTATTAAAAAAATACACAAAAATCAAATAATATTAAGAATTTTCAGGTGAATATAATAGAAATATTTTTCAAATGTTATCAAAAAAAATGCTAATTATTCGGAAGAGAAAATAAAAAAATTATATTTTTCAAGAGTAAATATTTTTTTGGAGTTTGTAAAGGTATATAGTACAAAAAACATATTTAAAAATAAATATTAAAATTTGACAAATAAAATAAAAATTAGATAGACAGTCATAAGAAAAAAAATGAAAATTAAATATATATATATATAAAAATATATATATATATATATATATATATATATATTATTTTATTATCTATAAAATCTATATTTT